GCTGAATTTTCATCATTACTCCAGTCTTCAGTGTCACATGACCTTCAGAAATCATTCTAATATGCTGATTTGCTTTCAAGAAACATTTCTGATTATTATCAGTTGACAATTTAAAAAAAATTTTTTTTTTTTTAATTATTACTGTTTTTACTGCATTTTTAAACAAAGAAATGTAGCCTTGGTGAGCAGAAGAAACTTACTGAAATATTGATATATATTTTTTAAATACCTTCAAAATCGGGGAAGTCGTGGCCTAATGCTTAGAGAGTCGGCCTCGTAACCCAAAGGTTGTGGGTTTGAGTCTCATACCGGCAGGGATTGTAGGTGGGGGGAGTGAATGTACAGTGCTCTCTCCCACCTTCAATACCATGACTGAGGTGTCCTTGAGCAAGGCACTGAACCCCCAACTGCTCCCCAGGTGCCGCAGCATAAATGGCTGCCCACTGCTCCGTGTGTGTGTTCACTGCTGTGTGTGTGCACTTTGGATGGGTTAAATGCAGAGCACTAATTCTGAGTATGGGCCACCATACTTGGCCTCATGTCACTTTTTCACTTTAAATATAAAAACTATTAAAGCATGTGTGTGTGTGTGTGTGTGTGTGTGTGTGTGTCAGTTCAGGGCTGTTTTTATCCCTTCTTCAAGCAGCTGTAAAATCTTTCTTGTACTGTATGTCATAACCAGCTGAAAGCTTGAGACTAATGAATTTAACAATCATCTGAGAAATAAGCATTCCATTGACCTGGCGTTGTGTCTGTTTCTCTAAGAGTTGAATTTCACAGGAGCGTCTAAGGGAAGCAGATCAGTCCTCATGAGAACACCTGTAATTTTCCTGCTCCTGTATGTGGGAGCGATGGGTTTTGGTGAGTCCACAATTATCACTTGTATTTAAACTCATTAATGAAAAACAGCACACTAATCAACAAACAGGTGCATTATGTCCATGTTATGAGTGTCTGAGAAAATGCACAGGATGGTTATTATATTTAAACACTCTTATTTCATGCTCTGGAGTACCTGAATTGTCAGTGGTGTCTTTCAAATACTTGTCAATAATGGCGTTTATCATTTTCTCGCTCAAGTGTTTTCCTCCATAGCTGTGCTCGTTTCATGTCTGACTGTCCTTCTCACAGAATTAAATCATACAGACTCTGATTAATATATGTGATTAAATGCACAGATACACAGATTAAATGCAGGCACTCTGTCAGAGTTTATTTTGCCATAATGTCCAGCTAAGTGTACATTATGACAGATGTAAGATATGACTCTCTGTCTCTCTCTGTTTTCAGGCATCGTGTGTTCAGCGGTGCAGAGGTGGGTGAAACACTTCAGATCTTTCCATTATGTAACCTATAGAAACTTTTGAGACAAAAGGACCCATCCAGAATGCAGTCTTTCTTGTGTTTTATGTTGTTGTTGTAAAATGACTTAACATTTCTGACTTTCATTCACCATGACCTATCGCTCACTTTCCATTCTGCTCCATCTCCTCCCTCTGCCCACATTAATCTCGTCTCATTTCATGATTTACAGTCAAACCTGTGGAACGAGTGCTGAACTTACAGCAGAACAATGAACTGATGTGAGTTCACACA